TTTTTTATTAATTATTATATGATTTATGATAACAGCCAATCAAAATTCTCTAAAAGTAAAAATTTGATAAAGAAAAAAATTTTTAAACAATAATAAAACTTTAAAAACTACATATCAAAAATTTTTAAAAAAATTATAATAAATAAAACTAGTAGTAAGATATGATATTTATGAATTTTATAATTTTCAGTTATATAATTAAGGATTTAAAAATTGCCAAAGTTAAAATTTATAATAAAAATATAGTAAGTGGACTCAAACTTTTGGAAGCAACTGTATATATAAAGATAAGTTATTTATATTATAAAAATTTATAATTATTATAAATCTCTAATCAATGTTTAAATAAAAATACATCAATATTATATAATTGTAAATTAAAAAATAATAATAATAATTTTTTATTTTATTTTTTTTGATACTATTATTATTAAAAATAATTAAGAATTAATTATTAAACTATTTTTTTTTATATAATACAAGCATATTTCTTTTTTTAATAAATTATAATTAATCAAAAAAGATTTTATATAATCATTGTTTAATAAATTTGATATTTTTAATTTTCAAAATATCATAATATTAATTTATTTAATATTAATTATTTATTTTTCTTTAAATATATTTTTTATAAAAATATCACGATTTTTATATGAGATTTTAATCAATTTTTTTTTTCGTTTTTTAATAAAAACATCTATATTTTAGTAAATATTTTATTAGTTAAGACTTTAGATAAATAAATAGTCAGATCATTTAAAAAAGTATTCTTTAAATAAATATTTGAAATAACAAATATGTATATATCTCAATTTTATTGAAAAAAATTTTTTAAATGATTGTTATTATTCTAAGATTTTTTTATAATCAAATGAAAAAAAATATTTGTTAGATAGACAGTTCCAATATTAATACGGTATATCCTTCATCATAATATATTTATAGAATTTAAAGTTCAAATTTGATCTTCATTTTCTTAAATCAGTCAGTATTCAAATGAATTTCTTTTTGTGACTTAATAACTTAAAATAGTATTTACAGGTTTGAAATTTATCTTAGGATTTTGATTTTTATGTTATTAGTAGTTATTACAATAGTTCAGGAAGGAGCATTTGAAAAGGGTTTATAAGTTTTTTGTATCGAATTTCTTTTAATTTTACAATCTGCTGTTATAGTAATAGTATGTGGTCTAGAATGGTCTTTACTCAAAGTTCATTATGAAGTATCAAATCATTTTTAGGTCAAACTTAACTTTTGATGTCAAAAATGAGTTAGATTGGAATAAAAGTTTAACTATATAATATACAGCATACCAACAAATATGTACTGGTTGTGGATTATGCACAAAAAAAAAGCGATCATTCGAATCACGACAGGCATTTATCACATGATGATAAAAATGCCATGCACGCAAAATATTTTTTTTTCCAGTTCATCGCATATTACGGCTATGTGTACACTCGCACATAGGAATTCAGCTTTTCACCACTTTTCGCTTTATATACTATGATCAGAAACACTCTTACACCAAGCACACCTTCTCCAGCAACACTCCTGAACCCTAACAATACCTCTTCGACGGACATTTCCTTAGCACCTCAACAACTTTCCTGGGAGTTTTTGCGTAAACAGGCCCGTCAATTGGAGAATGAGATTGAACAGAAATTGACAAGCTATAGCAAACTTGCAGCTCAAGTTGGAAGGAGTGTGAATAGCATTGGCTCTGGGAGCCTGGGAAATGGATTATACGGAGAAAACGGATTGTCAGGGAATTCTAGTGATGCGATGGAATTGGAGTTAGATGAATTAATCAAAAAGGTATTTTCGGGCAACATGGCGTTGAAATTTGTCGTGTTAGATTGACGTGGGTTTAATTGATGTTGTACTTTGATATATTAAAGTTGAATTTGGTAGTAAGCTCCATGGCAGAGGTCGTAGATAGACCATCGTCAACCACATCAAATCCATCAATGATGCATATGTTGCAACGACATCGAGATATTCTATACGATTATTCAAAAGAATTTAAGAAGACTAAGGTATGCGCCAAAATTTTCTTTCATATTCTATTTTGTTATCAGGATATAGTTGCATTTTTTGATTACTTGGATGTTTTTTTAAGGCAAATATCCAAGCAGCAAAGAATCATTCGGATTTGTTGAGTTCAGTGAGAGATGAAATAAGGTATTATTCTTTGACCATTTACCCTTGTAAATTTTTTTTTCCTCGACAATTTACCATACATCAGGAATTAATCATATGATCTAATTTTTGTAGCTCTTTTAAATCAGGGGCCAGTAGTGAGACAGACTACTTCTTAAGCGAAAGAAGTCGAATTGAAAATTCTCATAGAATGACAGATATGGTTCTAGAGTGAGTTTTGGCATTATGTTTTAAGAATGAATAACAAATTAATCAAGAAAAAATCTTGACCAATTTTGTCATATTATTTAGACAAGCATATGAAGCGAGGGAAGAGATGGGAAGGCAAAGAAGCACACTATTAAACATCAATAGCAGGATGAAGCGTGTCACGAGTGCGTTCACTTGATAATTATCTAGATAAAACGTTATTTATTTATTCTTCTCGGTAACCACATTAAAACTTTCATCGTTCTCTAGATTTATTTCCGGGCCTTAATCGTATAATAAGGCGTATTAATACTCGAAAAACTCGGGACACAATTATAATGGCAGGATTGATTTCATTTTGTATTATTTTGCTGCTTTTGTATGCAAGGATCGTGTAAATAAAACTATTTATGAAAAATGTCACTCTTATAAGCCGGCTAAAAAGTTCTAGCAATGGTAATCTTATTTACATAAATCGTACTCTTGAAAACAGTAATCCAACTTGATTATGGTACATGGTTTTAATTCTTTGGCTCGGCGTGTCAACATCCTACTCGTTCTCCATTATGCAGATTGTAATACGTGCATTTTCACTGGTACACAAAGTAATTCTTGAGGGTAATTAGAATAGGATTTTTTTTTTTTTTTTTTTTTTTTTTTTTTTAGGTACAGCAAATCTTAAAAAAAAAGGTATATTCAGAAAACCATATTAATGTTTCATGGAGATAAATATTCTATTATGTGCACAATTAAACCTTCCATTATTATGTAAAAGTAGTGACTGTGTTACAATTTCGTCATGGTAATAAATTTTAGGATTGAGTTCATCCTTTCCCAAATATTAATTAAAATAATGAGTAAGTTTAACACTACTCCACCACTTGTTAATCTCCATGCAGACATTTCTATCCAAGAGGGTAAGGTGTTTTGTGGCATTCAAATTTACACAAAAGTAATGTATTTCTGAATAAAAGTTCTCGCGTTCCTCACCTGTTTGTTAGTTGAAATACGTCTTCACGAACCACTGATACTAAAACCGAGCTCTCGGAAGAAGAGAGTAGGTTTACAAGTTCTGAACGCGCTGGCAAGGTTAGAGGTGTTGTTGAGTAAAGAAGAGGCGCTCGCAAGTTCAGAAATCGGGGTGCAGAATTTGACGCAGGTTGGTGGGAACACTTTATAGACAAAAAAATAACTTAACGATGGCTGGAAATTTCATTTAATTCGGCTACGAAATTGCGTGATAATAACAACCGTCGGTAATGTTATCTTAATGTACAGTATTCACAATGATATCGAAAGTTTCATTGTATAAATGGTAATGTCCACAAGCATGATTGATTGGAGTATATTGATCAAATGAAACAAAAAGATTCATTAGATTATCGGGGTTGGTCGTTGCAGACTGCTCCATTGGAGTAAGTACGATAATGATCTTTTATTAACATTTTGTCTCTCTCTTTCTCTCTCTCTCTCTCTCTCTTTTTTTAGCAACAATATAATAAAACGGAGATCGATGCTACCATAAAAGCTCTAGAGGTATCCCTACTACAATTCGACGAAGATGGAATATTCAAAAAAGACATTCAGGTCGGTTGCTTCAAATTTGATATTGTATTTATGATTTTGGTTCGCGTGAAATTGACGAGATCCATTGCCGTCCATGGTCATGGTCATTCCTTCGACCAACAGACATATATGACAGAATTAGGACTCGCCTCACTTTTTCCAAAGTCTGCAAAATACTTGGTGGCCAACAAGATTTCCTCGAGAAAATTGGATATCACCGGTAAATGAAATTGGCATCATTCACCTCTTGGTAGTTGTTAAGATCAAGTTCCGCGCACTTACAACGCGTACACAACGTACTTAGCTCATTTCGATGAAATGAACGTGCGCAATCAATTAATTTCTATTTCATTAAGGCTCCATCAGGATGTAAAACTTTTCAATCACAAATATTTGGCACATCAGATTGCACTTCTCTATGTAAGTTTACCATGTCGCAATGCTAGATTTGACGATGTTCGAATTTTTTTTTTTTTAAAAAAAAAAAAAAATATTTTTATTTTTATTTTCGATTCTACCCTCAAGCAATGCCTTAATCAAGCCGGCGGTGGCTTTCTTAAATATAAATCACGAGTCGAATTGCATTTCGACGAGATTAAATCACTGACCAACAGTTCAGAGGAGCCGCAACTTACGATAGAACAAAAACAATGGTTAGTAGTAACGTTCCACGCCTACGACATATAATTAAATGTCGATACTCATTTATAATAGGTTGTCAGAACTAACAGTCGACGTTTTGACGGAGGTGTTATACAATGGCCAGCCGGTAACCATGATGTCGCAACCATTGGCATCCTATTTAAATTATATTAGTGAGGTGCACGATAAAGTCAACTAAATTCTCTAAGCGAGCTTAAATAAACACATCCATCACATCACATTCCCGAGTTATTCGATATATCAAAAAATTTATTGCGAACAATTAATTATTTATTCTCATGCGATTTGATTGTCCCTGGTGATTTTACAGCACGGTACATGTCAGTCATACGACTACCGTTAGACCATAAAACACACGTTTAAAAAGAATTGAAGCTAAGCAAAAAATGGTCGTCTAACTTGACGCCCGTGGGAATTTGACGATCGGTACTTAATCACAATCCAATAATTTAAGCAAAATAACTGATTCGTGCTAGATTTGCCGTATATGGCAAGCAGACTTGGTTTATTATAAAAGTGTCCATCCGTCGTTGCGTTCAATAACTATACCATTTACCTTAAAGTAGACACCTTTTTGTTGACATGAGTTCTAGTATGTATGGTGCCACCATCTTCATTCGTATCTTTTGACTTGGTTAACGAACTATTTCCTTTGTCCAACAGGTCCGCGGGTCGCTTGTGTGGTATGTAAGAGGTGGAACAACGTCACGCCGAACATTTGCTTACAGTTGTTTCATTCATAGATGGTGGGACTTCCCGCCCGCGGAAAGACTTACATTGCTCAAAAAAGTGTGTATCAAATCAACCCTCTCTCAACCAGCGCAGAGGTCCCAAAATAATATTCTCTTCTTGTTTACCCAACTTCCTAGTATGCCGTTACCTCCGTTGGCTAGGCGTGACAACCAAGGTTTTCAACGTCGGAAATTACCGTCGCAAGCTTCATGGCGCACATCAAATGCATTCGTTTTTCGATCCCAAAAACCCGATGGGAGAGAATGCACGAAAACAGGCCGCTACCGAAGCACTCAATGATATGGTAAAATGGTTCAAGGGGGAGAATGGTACGGTTGCCATATTTGATGCGACCAATTCTACTCGGAGTAGACGCGAGTTCATTCTAAATTATTGTAGGAAGGAGGACATTCTGGTCATGTTCATAGAATCCGTCTGTCAAGATGAAAATCTGATCTTGCAGAATATCGTGGATGTTAAGTTATCCTCGCCCGATTACAAAGACATGGACCCCGAAAAGGCGGCCGAAGACTTCCGTGCCAGAATCTCCCATTACGAACAAGCCTATGAACCAATCACAGAGAGCGATCTCACCTATATCAAGATTATCAACGTCGGAAGTCAGGTGGTGATCAACATGATCCAAGGATATTTGCAGAGTCGAATCGTATATTACCTTATGAATTTGCACATTTTGCCCAGGAGCATTTTCTTCAGTAGGGTTAGTGCAGTGGGCCGATTCGTATTTCTTCTTTTCAGACACCTCGTCTTGACGTTGAATTGTTTATCTTAGCACGGCGAAAGCATGTACAATCTCATGGGCAAAATAGGAGGTGACTCGGATCTATCACCTCGCGGCAAGAAATATGCCCTCGCGTTGCCCAAACTCATCAAAGAAAAATTGGGTGACCAGCCGTTGACCGTGAGTGACGACGTTATTCATTTCTCCGACATCTCATCCGACCACCCATGTTAACTCTTAAATTCTCCTTCCAGGTGTGGACATCAATGTTAAAACGCACCATGCAAACCGGCGAACATTTGCCATATCCCAAGTTACATTGGAAGGCACTAGATGAGTTGGACGCCGGTTGTTGCGATGGGATGACGTATGAGGAGATCGAGGTTGGCCTGTTAACACGTGATTCACACACGTGATCCATGATGGTGTTCACGCGATTTTTGCATTTTTTTTTTTTTTTTCAGGAAAAGTATCCCGAGGATTACGCTAACCGGGATGATGATAAGTTCGATTACCGATACCGTGGTGGCGAGGTCAGTTCGAAACAAGAGTTATTACTATTATTATTATTATTATTTATGTTGGTTTATTGAAACGGGCGTGTCATTTACTTAGTCGTATCGTGACGTCGTTTTACGACTGGAGCCGGTGATAATGGAGCTCGAAAGGCAACAGAATATCATGATAATTGGGCATCAGGCTATATTGCGTTGCATCTACGCATATTTTCATAACTTGCCTCAAGAAGAGTTGCCGTACATAAAAATTCCTCTTCATACGGTCATTAAGCTGACGCCCAAGGCTTACGGTTGCGAAGAGGAGAGATATAAAGTTGAAATTGATGCGGTGGACACCCACCGACCAAAACCACCGCCCAAACAAAAAACACTGGCGGCAGCATGACTCCTGCCATGAATGTTAAAAAAAAAAAAGATATACGTAAAATTGATCGTGTGTTATTGGTCAAACATGTGAAAGTGGTGGTTGACTTTTTTGATAATTAAGGTTGTTGAGGCGCGGGATTTGTACTAGGCAGAGGGGAGGAAAACGGGCGAAGATCAGAGATGCGCAAGATTTTCGTCTCGTTTAATGACACTATATTAGGTAATGGCCGGTATTTAAATGGACTCATGATGCACAATCGTAGATATTATCATAACTCGTTAAAAAGAACAGTATCCAAATATATTTCTATAAACAATCGTTGCGCCTTTGTTTTTTTTTATTCTTTCAATTTGCCTCTCTTTTCGAGCGCCCTTTGTTCTTTGGAACTCCGTGAGGACACAATACACATGCACACAAGCGTAAAAATTTCTGGCTCCCTCGTCCATATGCAAGTCTGTGGGGAAGCGCAACCACGGGAATAAAGGAAGTGACACTTCGGGCGTTGCATGTGAGAATTCCGCTCAAATTCTTTGTTTTAAGGGCGGGGAGGAAAACTATTGTCTTCGACTCTTTTAAACGGATTGAAAAGAGGAAGGTAATAAAAGTTTGACATTTGGTATTATTTTTCGCTGCAATAAGAGGTGCGAGTCTCCCTTGTTACATATCAACAATAAAAAACCATCCACATGACTTTTGTTTTTTTCTACACGCATGTACATCCCTGGAGTTTATAACAACTTCCTTATTAATACGGGGAATGTATGCGGTAAAATGTACTGTACTCATTATGCCATAATATATTTGATGATAGTTGAAAAAAAAAAAAAAAAAAACCTTATATTGATAGTGCGCAATTTTTTTTTCATATACAGTACTAACGGTCAGTATATTGCCGATCGTAGTATAAATGAAAAAAAAGTTTTAAAGTAGGAAAAAAAAAAAAAAAAAAAATACAGTACCAGACGGATGTATTTATGCAGATTTAACAGTAGTCTCTGTATCATTGAACCAGGAGACCGAAGAGAATATTGATTTTTTGGTATGGTTACATGGCGGGATCAATGTAACTCCAGGTATTCAACTCTAAAAAATTTTTTTCTACTCTGTCGTCCTCCCTTGCATTTCGACACATTTTTTTTTTTTTTTTTTTTTTTTTTTTTTTTTTTTTTGTTTTACCTTATTTGAGATTTTATGGTGCGCTGTTGATTTTTTTATTACTCCACTCCCTTCGACCTTTGTTTCGCTTTTCGTTTATTTCTTTCTTTTCTTTTTTTTTTTCTCTTACATATTATTATTATCATTCGCAAATATACTACTAAATAAAAAAAAAAAAATCTATTCAGAAAGTCGTGCCGAGTTCATGACTCTTCGTATTTCAATAAAGGGAGTGTGTAAATAAACTTATATAATTCGAAAAAAATAAAAAATAAAAAAAAAAACAAACTTACTTATCTGGACAATATTCAAAAATTTTTCTGGCAAACATTTCTTTTTTTTCTTTTCTCCTTGATTTACAAACTTTTTCGTTTCCCTTTTTTTTACTTTTCTTTTTTCTTTTTTTCCTTTTACTTTTACTTTTTTTTTTTTTTTTTTCGTTTTCTTCTTTTAATATAACGGCATTTTGACAATGGCAGCACCACCTTTTCCTTTTTTATCTTCGCGCCCCATATCAGTACATGCGACGACACCGACTACACCAGCGGTCGTTGTGCCTCCACCGCCGCCTCGCCATTCCGTTTATTCCAGTGATCCGCGGGCACACCTGATTAGCGCCAATAACACGCAGGTTTACTCCTCTTCCTCGCCTGCCACCAACAATAACAACATTCTCCCTCCGATAAACACGTCCCCTTCCGCTCAATTTACCGATAATTTAAGCACGTCTGTCAATGGCAGGTACCCTGCAAACAGCATGCTGATGTCACCTCGACACCATTCGGCGATCAGACCGCGACTTGAGATGAGACGCAGTAGTGAGCCCAATTATCATGTCACAGAATATAACGCAATTGATCGTCATCCGCTGCCGCATAGCTCTTACAATTCTCCCACCACGATGAACGGTTTTCCTTTTGAAAGAGAACAACAGCGACAACAGTCACCGATCAATTTGCCTAAAAAACTGGATCACATGAAGTTGACGGCGTTCCCGCCGAACAAACAGATAAATCGGATCTCTACGTTGTCCAAGATCCTGCGAGACGACGAATTCGCAAAGGATGGGCGGTCGATGCGATCGATCAATGGAAAGAGACCGAGATTTGGAGATCGAAGGGAGAACGGCGATAGGGACAGCGAAGACTGTGACAGCAGCAGTAGTAATGGATACACCGACAGGTGAGCGTTGCGCTCCTCAAAGTTCTGATCTTTTCATCTGCGCGCTTCGTTTTCAGATTGAAATCCTTGAACCTTCCTTCTTTTTTTTTTTTTTTTTTACTGCGATACAAAGTAATTGCACCACGGAATGTCTTCTTCTACCTCAAAAGATGACGGCCATCAACAACGGCATGAGTTCACCGTCCAAAGGTTCACCAGTTACCAACAATGATAGCAGTGATGCTGGAAGCATGTTGGGAGAACCGGTACCGCAACAACAACAGATACTACGTCAAAATAAAGGGCTAAGACATTTCAGCAAACAAGTGTGCGACAAAGTAGAACTCAAGGGAGTGACAACCTACAACGAGGTAGGCTTGCAAATTTTCGGAATGCACGGGCAGCTTTCGCGCAAGGATCCATCTGGTTGGCCTACAATTCTTGTTGTCCAATGATGGATGGATCGGTTCTCGTGTGCATTTGACAAATCACTCATGATCCGGCATTTTTTTGCGTGCATCAGGTTGCCGATGAGTTGGCAGGAGATTTTGCGGCACAATTGAAAGAGCACGGTGGGGTGAGTGAACAATGCCTAATCGTGATCTTCCCGAAGAGATTTTCGATCGCTCACATTTCTCATACCGCTACTGTCTTCTTTTTTTTTTTTGTTTTAAAAAAAAAAAAACGTGATCAGCAAAAGGTGGATCAAAAAAATATACGACGCCGAGTGTACGATGCGTTAAATGTATTGATGGCAATGGACATTATCGCGAAGGATAAAAAGGAAATTAGGTGGCTAGGATTACCTGGTCAAAAGGTTGGCACGAATTCAGCTTCGTCGTCTGGGACGACGGAAGTCGAGATAGATAGGCAAAATTCTGAAATCAGAGAATTGGAGGTAATCGACGTGAAATTTCATCACCTCGTTCATTCACATCCCGTTAACATCGTTAATAAGCCTTCAATCCAAACTCTCGAAATTCACAGAGGCAGAATCGACGTCTGAGTAAGCAAGTGGACGAGGCCAAAATCGCCTTTCAAGACAAAATAGCTCGCGTAAGTGATGCACGTGATTGTTATGTAATGAGTTAGTTGATCTTTCTCAAGAGTGGATCATCATCTTCGCCATTGTTTTCTGTAGCATCTTCACATTCGAAATCTAATGAAGAGAAACAGACAGCGTCACGATCCTTATCGAGTTTCAAGTAAGGTGAAATCTGAAAAGGAAATATTCCTTCCCTTCAAGTTATTACACTGCCCCAGAGGAACCATCATCGAAAGTCGGACTGCTCAGGACGGGTAAGCCACCATCGTCATACTTGTGTTTACCCACTTCGCGCGTCGCGTTCTTTAACACACCGCCGGTTGATGATTTCACAGGGTTTCTCAAATCCTTTCGTTTCAACCACATCAACCCACCATAATCGGAGACTCACATGTTTTACAGTATCTCGGCATGGACAAGATCTCGACGGAGGACATGCACCAGTGGATTAAACCCGAATATTTAAAATGGATCATCACCAAACAAGGTGATGACGGAGATTATCGTATATGCTGTAAACAGTGACTAAATGATATCAACCAACCACCACCACAAATAAGATTTTTTTCGTGAACACTATAATAATTATAAGCAACCGAACATTTTTTTTTTTCTCAGACTTTCCATTGGAATAAGCTTGCCACATTTCAAAATTAAGCTACCGGACAATTTAATAAAAATTTCAAACTTTTTTTTTTTTTTTTTTTTTCTTCCTTTTCTTTTTTTTTTTTCATTTTCTCTCGAAAGTTTGACCGAGTGATTATGATGACTTCAAGTAGTTTCAAATGATTCAACACGATAACAATTGAGAGAGAGATGAGAAATTGTGCAATATAATCATCTTGGTTTTTTTTTTAAAAAAAAAATAAAAAAAAATAAAGAAAAGAATAATAATAATACATGTGTCTCGCAAAAGAATGAATCGAGAAAAAAAAATTTTTTTTTTTCTGTTAAGTTATTGAAGCGAATTCGCACGCACTTTTTTATGTGATCTAAGCTGGCGACCCCAATACTTGCACACGTGAAGCTCGAGATGCGCGTGCGATACGTGACAAACGTTCTAACCGAAATAGGTTTGATGTGTCACCCACGCATAATCAGCAGCGATGGATGACAAGTGTGAATTATATCGAATAGTCGTATTAGGCAGGAGCCTTAATAACAATAATGCGGTAATTTATTTTTTGCCACCGCCACGTACGTATACACAAATGGCAGGATTTTTTTAAGCTGTGTGCACCAAGGGGTATCAGAATTTTCCGTCTTTGGCGAAGAATATGGACGAAGGGTGCGACGACCACTTCGTCGAAAAGGTGCAGCTAACAATAGGTAACACGACGACGGCAGGGATCAATGGTTAAGCCGAATTTACAAAAGAATGAATGATCGATCCCTGGGGCACAAGGTTGGTGGATGATAATTTTCGTACGGCAAAAAGATTGGTGTTTGGTATTTTAACCTTTTTAGAAATATGATATTCGATAGTAACCTGACATGACACCATTTCTTTTTCTCATACAAAAGATCATGCGTGTGTGCATCCCTGAAGTCGAATCTTATCATTCTTGGTGACGTTGATTAAAATTCCAACTCTGAACTTGACTTAGGAAGGTAATGACCGTATTAAATTTCAACCGACGTAATATACTGGGTATTCGATGGTGTAGTAAATGTAGTACCATACACGTTATGGTCGCACAATAATAAATAAATGTTTATCTATTTATTCATTTAATTCTTTAAATCTTCCAAATTCTAAAATTCCACACACTGCAATCAAAAGATTGGCGGGAAATATGCGATTTCAAGAAAAAAAAAAAAAAAAAAAACTGGCGGGAAAATGTGTCAGGGCGGGAGAATCAACTGACATTATTGTGTTAGTTACACCATCAAGACTTCCATTTTGACTTAAACCCACCATTGCATACGTGTAAGCTCATTTTAAAGTTTTAGACTACCCCATTTATACTTATGCCGCGAAATTTATGAGATGCATAAGAATGTTCATGTGAATTACCTGTTGAATAAACTATTACACATTATTTTGAGTTTATTTCGTTTATGGTCGCACCTGGACGAATTTACAGGAAGCCTGGCACTGAGTTAGAACGGTGCCATCAAGACACACGGACTATCGTACACCCAGAGGCGGGGTGCCCGAGTGGTAAAATTCAAGTATATAGACAGGATAGTTTAGTGGAAAATCCGTAAAGCAGCAGAATAATGCAGTATGTTGATGCGCAAGAAATTTGCGTGACTATCTTTTTTTTTTTTTTTTTTTTCTAACCCGAAGGAGAAACCTGAACTTGAGAGAAATTGCCGGTTCTATTATTGGTGCGTTCCGCGGTACACACGTTGGCGGCCGTCTCCACAAGCGCACATCCGAATTTCACTACGCTGTGAAGATTGCTAAACGATGGTAAAACTCTTTGAGGACGGTCTTGTGCAACGGTCGCACGGTTGAGGTGATGTCAACGTTACACGGACTATTATTAAGTGCACAATTTTTGAGTGGAATGACACCACCGAGCGGTGATCACCTTCGCAGGTACCGATTAGGTTAGATTACAACTTTAAGCTTAAACAAAAAAAAAGCCGATCGGCGGTGTCACTAGCTTAAATGTTGGTCTTTTTTCAAACGTCTTACCGAAGATCAAATGGAGGGTCCAGGAGCGCAAAAAGAAAAAAAGAAAAGAAAAGCGTAGTAGCGCACACACACAACATTACATGTTTTCATTAAAAAAAAACTTTAACCTTAGTCAGCATAAGGTTACAAAATTCCAATACTTACTTTTTTCGTAACAGCGTGACACAAGATATTGTGCGCGAGCGGGCGGACCAAGCATAACGAAAAAAAAAACTAACCAAAGAAAAAACTATTTTGAATTTTCTAGATTCCTTATTTCATCTAACCTCAATATTTGTTTGTTACCCCTTTTTGCTGACGTTAATACTGCACTTTATTTTATTTTCTTGCGATGTTCCGGGAGCTTCTTTATTTTTCACAATCAACACAATCAACGGAATGAATGTTGAGGCAATTTATAAGCAGGGTGCGAGGAAAATCTTACGTTTATAGTAAGTATGTATATTACATGTATATTACGTGAAATGCAGATACTGATGTGAGGAATTTCACTCGTATTCAAGATAAGGTCATATTGCATTTGAGTTTACGATTGTTGGACTTCTTTTGTCCTCTCCACACTCTAATAAGTGATGAACGATGGCAAAGTTTTTTTCCATAAAAAGAAAAAAAACGTAATCCGCATCTAATGAGATCCCTGGCACGTATGTACAGTACGTAAGATAATTTTGTTTACACCGGCATCTGATCATTTTCGTTGTTTTTAAAATATTTACCTGATGACACATTTTAACATTAAATCAATGCAAATAGAAGATCCATTGACGAATTAATGCACTGCAAAATGCAACACATACAGTATCTCATCCTGTGTACAGTATGTACAGTGGTTCTTAATCTTAACATGATATACACTTATTTAAAATGTATCAATCAAAAAATGTGTCAATAAATAAAAAAACCTTTACTTTTAAAAATATATTTAGTTTCAACTTGTTTTAAGCAATAATTTTATATTTATTTATAATAAATTAATGACTTACAATAAACTCTTATATACAGTAATTCGATAAAAATCAAATTATATTATCTCAATACAATATCTTTTTATTATAATAAAATAAAAACTTTTAATATAAAAATAATAATAATAATTCTTGTTAACTAGAATATCTTTCAATGATTTTTAAAGAAATATATTTCTAATTAAAGCTTAATATAAATTAAAGAATACTTGATTTTATTATCTCATCAAAATAAAAAAAAAATTTTTAATCTTGAACTTTGTTTAATTGAAATAATAAAAAATGATCTCAACTTGAATAAATAATAACTTTTTTATTTCTTGGTTAGGTATATATACATTATTAAACATTTTATATACTTTAAATTATAAGATGTATCACCAAAACCAAATTTCTACTTACAGTAATTCACTCATCTTTGGCTTGAAATTTATTAAAACTTTAAATGCAACTTTGAAAGTGATTTATTATTCTATTAGTAGTTTAAATAAAGATCTTTTCAACTATTAACTTAATTACTTGCAGATCATTATTATAGAACTTATTTATATTTTACTATTAATATATTATGTTTCATATTAACTAATTGATTTTAGTAAAAATTATATTAATTTGTATTATTTCAAAATTTAAGATCAAATTAATATAAATAAAATCTTTAAAAAATTTGAAAATCAAATAACTATAAGAAAATATAAACAGTAACAAAAATATTTTCAAAATTTAGATTTTTGTTTATTTATCATATTATTATATAAACTTTTATATATTTTTTTATTTTAAAAAAGAAATTTAAATATTATATTATTGATTTTTTTTTTAAAAAAACATATTTGTTATAGATAAAAAAAAATAATTTTTGACTTTATTTTATTATTAAAATTCAAGTTTATATAAAAAGAAATATAAATAAGAGAAAAAAATAAAAACAACTTTTAAAATTATTCATTAAATTGTTTTAAAAATAACAATAAAACTTTATTAGCATTAAAATATAAAACTTTTTATAAATATCTTTTTTAATTATTTTAAAAAATTAACTTTGATTTTTTTTAAAAATATTAATAAAAATTCAATTTATCAAGTTTATCTGTATAGTTTACATTTTTTAAAATAATTTTATATTAATAACAAAACTATTTTAAATTAATTTTATTTCTAATCAAATTTAATACTGACAATGTTTATAATTAACCTATTTACTAATATATTTTAATTAATCTCGATATAAAAATAGATTTCTAAAGTTTAATATTATATTTTATACTTAAAAGTTTTAAATTAAAAAGAAATCATGATTTTTTTTTTTTAAATCCACAGTTAGGTCAGCATCACACATTTTTATTATATATATACAAAAATATTTTATAAGATATTTTGACTTTCACATACTAATTCACCCATTGTCAAAAACCTATTTCTCTAAATATAACTTAAGAAATGATATTTCACTCATTTACTAACTTGAATAAATCCTTTAATTAATAAAATTATTACCTACAGATCATTACTATAAATTATTTTAAATTTTGTTTGCAGTTAAAAACCAAGTTATTTAGTACCATAATAAACCCTATCCTTAATGATTTCTATATACTTTTTCCCCTCCTTTCTTTCAAAAGCTTCCTCCTCCAAGTTTTCTAAGAATGTTGAAGATTCTTTCTGTTCTTGTGTAATCTGTGCATTTGATCCACACCCAGGTCTTTTAGATATTTTATTCTTTTCAGTAATATTCTATTTCTTTTCTCACTCTATTAATTTAGTACAACAGCTATTTTAAATATCCTTTTTGAAGTTTTTCCTTATTTTATGACAAAACTTATTGATTATGCTTTGTGTGGATACTGGAGGAATTTTGAGTTATGTTTTGAGGTAATTCTTCAAAGAGATAGTTTCATTTTCTTCTATGTATC